TATTTGACGAAAATAATCAAAATTATACTAAACCAAAGCGAACCAAAAAGTTGGGTATTGTACAGACTGTACTACAGGCACAAATACATCAACTTAAATGTATGCATAAGAGCATGTTTATCCTCCTTTTTCTTTGAAGTAACCCAGTTTTAACATGTACAAATATTCTAAATCGCACAATTTAAAAAAAAAATTATACCGCTCGCTCCACTTGTAGAGCACCCGCCTCAACAAAACTCATTTTCAAGAAATAAATACAATCAAAAAAATTTCGCTCGCTCGCCCCATATTTTTTGGAGCTTTTGTCCGAAGAACTAAAAATCAAATTGGTGTGGCCTTATCGGAGAGGTGAAACGAGGGAGAAAATAATATGTATTAGATACACATTAAGGGCGTTAGCCCGAATGAGTGCGTATTACTTACACCAAGATAAATTGAATATTGTCAATGCAGAATGACAAATTCAATAATTTAGGACAGGGACTTTCAATACTAACGGATTCCCTGTTAAGGAGGAGATCTTTTAACAATTTGACAATTGCTATTGAAATGCATGATAAATGCAGGGTATCCAATTTATTTATCGACATTTTTGTGTAAAAAAAGATACAATATTGCTAGATAAACAGAAAACAAAAACACATTTCCTTGCATAATCTTATCTAAAATTATTGAAAATTATCATAATTTATGGGTATTTTTTTAACATGATACATCAAAGCTGAATTTTGTATGTTTGCATTACACACTTGCACTGTTTGGATTAACGTATCAATAAGAAGGTAGGTTAGAAAGTCACAAAAAAAAGAATTATAGGACAAAACGCCATTATATGGTTTTCCGGATAATGTTTTTTTTTTGGCAATATTAAAAAAAAAAAATCTAAAACTTTTACATATGCAATACATTTTAGGTAAACACCTAGAGTTACAAATATACCAGCATACATTTTTGATAGAAAAAAAAATGCTATCAAAGATACTTCAGAAATGCCTAGCTCCATGCCTAAGAAATATACATCTTTTTTATTGTTCACATTTATTTAACCTCCATTCAACAATAGGAAGGAACATTTGCCTCAGCTGTGAAATGAATTGATTTAAAACGACTGTAAACATATTTATTTCTGTCTTGTCAATATCTTAGCATAGAATATGATCAGAATATGGTCTGTGTATAAAACAAGTATACCCGCGCTGTAATAAAAGCACTAGACAATTTATATATAGATATAAGATGTGGTATGAGTGCCATTTATGTAAATATATGCTACTTCCTACAGAATTTTGTTTTGTTTTTAGTTTTTAATTATTTTTTTGTCATTATCGTATATTTTTTTTAACCACTAAATTTGGGGTTTTGTGATATGTTCGTGCAGTTTTAACAATGTCGTCAATAGTGTTTAGAAAGAAGCTATTATAAATTTTTTTAGAACCTTAAACTACACATACATGATCAGAGCTATGATACCATGACAGGTGTACATATGATGTAATTGTGAAATAGCCATTGTAATTGCCAAGTTTTTAATAGTTTAAGGATCATTGATTGTATTACCTGTTGATTATTGGCACGTGCCATCGAACTCAATCTTTATTGACAGAAAATATTAAATAACGAATACATTTATTACTATTAGAGGAAGAAGAAGACGAAGAAGAATTATTTGTTATAGTGCAACTTGAATAAACAAATAAATACATAATTATTTTATATTAAATAAAATTGTTATTAAAATGAAAGAAAGGATTAACGCATTTACAAGGATATATACTCGATGCTGAACTTAAATTAGGTTACATTGTTTTAATGAACAGTTTTATGAGGATCTGGAGGGGGTCCTTTATTTCTATTTCTCTATTCTTTAAACTTTTTGTCTATTATTATCTATTCTTTATATTCAAGCACCTTATTATTCTCTGTTCTTTATTTTTTTTATCCATTTTCTCTATTCTTTATATTTATTGCCCATCATTCTCTATTCTGTAAACCCCCCATCAACATCTTCTTCTTTCCGATGGTATGTTATTTATAGTTTTATTGTCTTGTCACGGTCTAAGTGCAGTTTTCAGAATATAAGTACACTCGGAGACATGGTTCCCTGATGCGGCCTTGGTGACTACGCATCACTACGAAATAAAAGAAAAAAAAAGACGGTTGTCCAAATATAAAAAGAATAACTCGCACGGGGAATAATTACTAAATGCCACGAAGTAATTATTAAGTTTTAGAGGAAAGTATCGAAAGATAACGAAATTAACGATATAAATTATCTGACATAAAACATATTTGTATTTACGTTGATCGATCCCGACGAAGTTAAATCCACAAACGTGCTTCAGACGCATGAAATTTATAAGGTGTTCTCACTCTTTTGTTAATGTTATGTTTAAAATTTGCAATTACTTCTTTTCAAAGAATAAGTAGAGAAATACCATAAATTAACATCAGAAAATAAAAAAATAAAATAAAATCATAAACAGTTATAGGCGAATGATTTATTTCCTCAACAAAACAAAATCACTAATCTCTTAAAAAAAGACCAACAGAAATAAAAAGTCAACCAATGATTTTATGTTTAGTTATTAAAAATACGTTTTTCATTCTAGCATTTATATTGTACATTTTTTGTAATTAAAATGTATCATCCACATGAAGGGGCGTAACTCCTAATATAATTCTGTCACACTAAACGGATCTTAACCCGATCTGAAAATTTTGAACATTACTTTTTATGTTTGGTCTGAATTCGTCTAAAACCGTCTTAACATATCTTGTTTAACAGCTAGAGCCTTCTGTCTTGTTTATCTTGACATGAATGAACGGACTGAACACGACATATCGGAACAGCGTCTGAAAGTCTTAAAAAGTCTTAACGTTTTTCCCTAGCGGTAAATTCAGTCGATTCAGACTTGATCAGACCAAAATGACCGATTCAGACTGAAATCTTGCTACTAGTGTCAGCTAGTACATTGAGTTTCATTAAACTTTGATACCAATTGAAATAAAAATTACTAATATTAATCAACATGCACAGAGAATAATTTGCTATGTTGTTCTAAAGTATTCTCACCAAGAATTTGTATAGTATAGTGTCTTACTATACAAATCCTTGTATCACTATTTAAAATGTATAGTTTTTTCACTAGCAGGGAATTTTGAATAATTGAAGTCATTAATTCCAGCGACATAAATAATATATATCAGTTTCTTTATAAGATTTTCAACCAAATACTGTTTTCATTTATTATGAAGACTTCAGAAAAATGTAAATTTTTCCGTTAGTACTTCACCGGTTGTGATTTTCACAATGGGAAAAAGTTCAAAACCGTATAAGAATTTGAAGACCACCCAAAAAAATATCAGGACAAAACACAACCAATAAAAGTGCTGTGGTGCATTTCACATGTAGCATGTGTGTATTTCCTAGTTAATCAAGAAATGTTGCAAGCGTGATGTCTGGTAATGTTTCTGGCATCAAAACCCGCTTACAGCAAATCCAATGATGAGCATATATCTGCATTGCAAAGCGCATATTTTGAATCTTGTTGTTAAGTCCACTATTCTGTAAGTCAGTTGATAAAGTTTCTTTGAGGATTCTCAGCTGTATTTTTGACTTGTTGTGTCATTAAAATAAACCCCATACCCATTTCCTTTTATTCGTAAAGAATTTAAAATCTGGGACGTTCACTGGAAGGATTAATTTGAAAAAAAGTGGTAAATGTTTTTGAGAACATTTATGTATTCATCCGATGATTGAAAATGTTGTAGGTACCAGTAATCAACTCAAAAATCTGTAGTATAACTTAGTGTAAGGCATATTAACATTATTATGATGAAGTAAAATAAAACAACATTTACTGCTTTTATTTTTAATAGATTCTTTTTTTTCAAATTGCAAAACTTCAACAACTTCTGGCGGTGTGCCCCCCCCCTCCCCCATACAACCTGGCTCGGTTATAACAGAAGGCAAGCTACGCCACTGCAAGGGTGGAGAGGAGGGGACTGGATCGTAACCCTTGGCTAGCGAAGATGTAACCGATAGGCTTGCAATTGATTGAATGTTCTACAAAAATTTTAATTCATAGACAAACGAACACTCGAAACAAAATACCAAACATATATAAGACCCGTATTAGGATATGCTGATGTTTTCTGTATAACAACACAAAATTCTTTTGATTGATAAGATTGAAAAAGTACAAACAGAGGTTGCTAGGATCGTAAATGGGGGTACTAGGCTGGTTTCATTAGAGAGATTATACCTCGAAACAAGTTGGGAAAAGCTTAAAGATCGAAGGGAGGCCCATAGATAAGTTTATTTCTACAAGACGAAAATTCATATTACTCCGGAATATTTATCGAACTTAGTTCCAGTATCCCATGCAACTATACATAATCATATTACAAGAAATTCGTCACTTTAAATCCCCCAGTTTGAACAAGAACAGCCTTTGATTCAAATTATTATTTACCTGCAACTGTATGTTCAGGGAATCTCCTCCCTGAGAGTTAAAATAGTTCTTCAGTGGGAGCTTTCAGGAGTCTCGTGTAACTAAACCTCCATATCATTATTACATTGGTAAGCGATTAGGTCAAATTTATCACGCAAGACTTTGTATGCAATGCAGTTCTCTAAATCAGCATCTTTTTGTTAAAAAATATAGTGGCCTGACCAGTTTGTTTATGTTGTGCTATAGAAACCAGTGCACATTACTTGTTGATACTATCAGCAGTAGGTCAACTTCATTATGGACATGTCTTTCTGTTAGAGATTATCTGACCTTTTCAGATACTATAAGAACAAAGTCAATTGTATTAGACATGTTAGATGTATGGAATGATTGTAAGGTACACATGTCTGTCTGGCAGATTTCCTCAAACCTTGACCTCAGGATATGGATTACTGAAAATTGTGACTAGACTTTCTAGAACAGCTTTCAAATTGATTAGTTTAAAACCACAAAAATAAATATATATATATATATATCTATTTTTAGATGAGAGAATTCCAGAAGAGATAAGAAACATGGAACAACAGTCAATTGACATTTATAAAAGGGCTTTAAAGTCTGGTTCCGAAAAGAAAAGGGACATCAATTTAGTAATAGTGGGTAAGAAAGGGGCAGGAAAAACATCATTAGTACGTAGACTTTTTGGAGAGGAATTCACTAACTCGGAAAGTACAAATGGTATAGAAATCCATCGTAGACAATGCAAAATAAAATCAAATGAGTGGACCAGGATAGGAGGTAAGTTACCTGGTCCTGCCAGGATACAATGATAAGTGTGCGATATTTTTATCTCATACTGTTAAGTTAATGTACATGTTGTATTATGCCAAGCAGATAATCAGTTATAAAGGTGCATAATTTCACCCTTTTTGCTTATTTCTAAAAGTTGTTATAGACAGAACTAGAGAAATCTGATCTGCAATTCAAGATCTAAAATTTGCCTAAAAGGATTGCACTTATTATCAATAAAAGTTTATAGATTGGTATAGAAATTGTAGACACACAATAAGGCTATGTAAGAAAGACGTCTGATTGCAATGATACTTGTATTGGAACACTAAAGTAGGTCTTGTCACAACACTGGTGATGTCGTATACATAAAGAGTGGTACTGCGAACATCTGATACTAGTATGTGCAATCCGGTATATTATGGGGGCGCGCAAATGAATTAAATTACAATATCCCCAGTAATGAAAATAAATTAAGAAAGTTTCAGTTTGAATTACTGTCTCTGATAAATATAAAACTGTACATATCTTTAACTGCCTTTCATAATGCACACGAATAAAGTAAAAAGGATTTCTCAGTCTATAATAAAAACTAAAATAACAAAAATACCGAACTCCAAGGAAAATTCAAATGGCAAAATCAAAATCTTAAACACATCAAACGAATGGAAAACAACTGTCATATTCCTGACTTGAAAGCCAAGAATACAAAAAATGACCACAGCACAACAACCTAATGGCAGATGCATAAGTACCAAGCTACACCAAAATGATATTATCAAAACTGGACTTATCAATAATGCATGATTTAACTCACTAAACACAGTTAACAGTCCATAAAATTCGGATAAAAAGTTCACAGGAATCATTTTTGACGGTATCTTTGGTCCACGTTTTTATCTTTCTTTTGCTTTGGTCTTCGCTCTTATTGGGACAATTTCTTCATCCCATGGTCCTGTATATTCATTAGATGTCTGTTCTAGAGGATATAACTTGCTAATAGGTCTAGAAGTAAGACCTGTTTTAGTCCGTTAAATAGCTGATCAGATGCTAAATCCATCTCGTCCTTGAATCAATTTGTCGAGGATCCCTACATTCCAAGTTGTTCTTGAAGTTTCATCGTGTATCAGTACAACCTCTCCAATATTAATGTTCTGTTTGTCTACTCCATTGTTTCGATGTTGTTCTCTAAGTTATGTGAGGTATTCACGTTTCCAACGTGTCCAGAAATTGTCAATGATCTGGCTATGAATCTGTTATAATTTATTGGCTGATGAGTGTGTTATGATTTTGTCTCGCCTTGACACAGGGATTGCAGTTCCAGTGACAGCTGCGGAAGTGGCTTCACCAATTGTTTACTTTTCTGCTTAAGTTAGTTTGATAGCATGTAATTGTAATAGATCATTGATATTTAATATAAAATTGCATTACTTTCAGTACATATCAGTTTGTCGACTATTTCTAGGCCTTGCCCACAAGATCATGGTTAAGCGACTGAATTATAAGCAATGTTGCTGTCCATCAGATTGTCTTTTTCTGAATTTTATGCGGACAGGCAAGACATTTTGTGACGCCATGGCTTAGTGGTAATTCTAACTACATTTTATTCTGTATTAAGTTCGTTTGACTTCGAAATAAAGTTACCAAATTGAAACTAGTTATCCAGAAGATGGACAAGACTAAAGGAAGTTTTCATATTTTATTGATGCTTCAAGAGTACATGTTAATTATTGGATAAGGGAGCAACCATTTGAGTTATACTCTGTACTTAACATTTATATTATAATGGCTACTGCATATAGAGAAATATGGGAGAAATCTCCACTTGGCTCAACTGGCTTTCATACTGTCTATATACTAGTATTATATTATTTCTGACAGTCTATATATCATAGTACACATACGTGTAGTCAGCCATATGTCAGTTCACTGACCGGCATAAATTATAGCATACATTTTATAAAACATGAGCGCTCCTCTAGAATTGTTTTTAGAGGTATTTCTCTAATCTACAGAGCCATTAGCAGCAATTATGTATACGTTATATATTACAAACTTCAATGATAACTAAAGATATTTACAACTGTTTACACTGAACATGACAAAAGGTAGATTTTTCAAAGTCCGACCTCATTTTCTTATGTAAATAAAAATATCATTCTACTAAAGAGCTTAAATATAGCACAGGTGACTTATTCTCCCAGCTAAATTCACTTTTGTAAAATTAGCAATAGGATAATTCCATATCCCCAAGTTACACACTAAAAAATTTGGATATAAAGGTTTATTCATGATATTTGAGTCTTTTAAGTATACCCTTAAACCTTCATATCATTTGCAAGTTCTCTGCAACTATATTAACATACATGGCCCAATATTCTGTAACTTCTAGAGAAAAGCCCCAAGCTCAAACCAAAATAAACATTAATTTCTCTATTTTTCTCCTTTATCTCAAGTTCATAAATTTACTCAGCTATTGACCATAGTCAAACATACCTTTTTCTGTTGATACTGCACAAAACAGCACAGGTATAAGTGAGGGGAAGCAGCTTCTTTTTACTACTAGCTTAACCAAATTCGAACTTTGCCGCTTCTGAGCTTTTATATGCCAGCGCCAGCAGTATAGGTAAATTAAGGCCTTATCATTGGTTCCAACAATATTCTCCTTACTCTAATAATCACGTTACCATTACTTTTTATGTTATTGTATCTTTCTACACTTGTATTTATGTAACATTGAATCAAACTAATAATAAATTTTATATATAAAGCTATATAGTTTGTCAGATTCATGGTTTGAAGCGTACATAGCTCAAAACCGAACTTTATTATCGATAAGCATGAAGCTATCGAGTTGCCTTGTAACAACATCAAGAAGAAGTAGTATTAGAAGCGAGTACTTGACTTCCTTTACAAACATGTGAAACCAAAAATGACCACTAGGACCTCAATATCTGCTGTTCTAAACCAAATACGATATTACAAACAACAACGACCATTTCCTGAAGATTTATACGATATAAAGTAAGCATATAAATACTCCAAACAACATGCCATTATCTATTCTATTATAAATCCACTCATTAACCCGTTTCGATCAGACGACAGATTTCAACGACCATCGAACATATTTATCACATAGCGAACATTACAATACCCCGCCATATAAGCGATGTGTCCACACGATCATATAACACATAGGCATAGACACAGTATAAACAACACAAATAGATTTGCATACTGATTTTATCCAATATAGATCATTTTTTTTATAACATCAATAAATGAACGCATTATAACCATGATAACAATTATAACACAACATGTTTAATTAAAGCACTTTTGTCCAATGCTCTTTGTTATTCGTTACCCTGCACTGCTAAAGATGTTAAAATAGAGAAATTCAACTTTCAATTATCATAAAGTTCACCCACATGATAAATTCAAATTCAATTTTTTTAAGTCCACCCGCTTTATATGAACCAAAAGATAACTCATCAATGAAATTATCTCAACAATAATATGTATATTTTAAAATCCACCCTCTTAACCCAACTATTATAATCAAATTACACCAAAGAACACAACACTTTTAACTAATCCCTAAATCTTTTGTTATGGCACCCTCAACGGAGTTGGGGTGACATATTGTTATTCTACGTTTCTTTTTTTTCTTTTTATTATTATTATGTCACCCAATCGACAATGTCGGGTGACATATTGCTTTTCCTCTGTTTCTTTTTCTGTATTATTATTATTATTATTATACTTCCACCTAATTTTGTCCGGTAGTTTTCTCAGAGCCGATGGAACCATTCTAAATGATTGTTCACTATAACAAGGAACACCAACTTTTGCGTTGCAGTGGAACTTTGGCACTAAAAAATGGCTGCCGTTACCATGGAAACCGAAAAAAGGTGAAAAAATTAAATTTTGGTGAATAATTTGAGAATGCTTAAACTTAAAATCATTAGATTTTAATACAATGTAGTTGTCCACTATATACAGGTTTTGACTGATTTTGGCAATCATTGGAACTACTATGTTGCCATGGAAACGACACTAAAAATTTCAAAAATATCAAAATGCTCCAAATTTAATGAAACTTCACAGTAACGATGAGCAACATTTGTAGATGTGGCATTTGGAGTTGAAATTTCCAAAATGGCTGCCGTTACCATGGAAACAATGCAAAAATGGTCAAAATGCTTCTAAAACCTTAAAGAAGCATTTACTTTCTTAAAATGATAGGTCAAATCCATTGAAACTTTGATTGTATGTTCCCTCCCATGTACCAATGTGGCATCTGTCATTAAATTTTGGGAATGGTCTACCATAGGAACCAGCAAAAATGTCAAAAATTTCAAAAATTTCAAAATGCTCCAAACTTTATGAAACTTCATACTATTGTTAACTGGCAAGTCTGGATGAGACTTTTGACTTTGGAATTTCCAAAATGGCCACCGTTGCCATGGAAACTGCAAAAATGTCAAAAATTTCAAAATGCTCTAAACTTAATGAAACTTGATAATAATGTTAACTGGCAAGTCTGGATGAGACTTTTGACTTTGGAATTTCCAAAATGGCCACCGTTGCCATCGAAACAGCAAAAATATGAAAATTTCAAAATGCTTCAAATATTCAGAAAAATTACAGAAATATGTATTGCCATGCATATATGTGCATTCACTGTTAAAATTTTCGAAATGGCTGCCACTTAGTGTCAATGGGGGAAGGGTGACATCCGCTATTGCTTGCAATGGCAAATCTAGTTATTATTTTTATTCTTGCACACTTTTTGTCCGAGCTATTTCTCGGAATTGAATGGACCAATGTTGATGGAACTATATCATAATGTGGACCACTATGTGAAGTTGTGCAATAGACATTAGAATGGTTCAAAATGGCCGCCGTTACCATAGAAACAGCAAAAATGTAAAAAAAAATCAAATTTCTTAATCTTTTGTTATAAGAGCCATCTTATTGAAACTTTATGTAAATATTGCCAG